ACAAACTTAGCACCGAGCATAAATATTTCAATAAAGTTATTTAATATATATGTTGTTTGGAATCTTGAAATACATAGCAGTAAAAGTATTATGGTAACAATAGGTTTGATGAAACTTTGGAAAATCATAAAATTCAGGAAAGGTTTTACCTTAATTTATTCCCTGTTTCTGAATTTTGCACATTTTAATAATATTTTTGCAATACCATTAAATCTTCTTGATTCACATTACTCTACAAATAGTAATCATCCGTATCGGTAGATTCCTAGTTGTTATTATTCTGGACATTCTTCTCGATTAATGAAAACGTCAAGTCTTTTGTCTTGTTTTATTACTTAAGATATGAGCATAATTCATAGTAGCTTGTATAATTAAAATTTTCTGATTTCTTGGAAGTTTTTTTCCTTTGAGAAAAAAAGAAAGCGTGTGCTCAGGAGCTCTCTTTGCCTTTACAACCAAAACGTGGAGAGAGCAACTTTTAAAAAACAACGTGTAGAGAGAATCAGGTCGTCTCCCTCCATTCCAGCTGACTAGGTCTGTTCAGAACGAAAAGTTTCACAGTATATTAATCCTGAAGTACTACTATTATTTAACAGCTACTGCAAATTACGTACTACCACATAGCTTCAAAGCTAATCTAGGGTATCTTGATTCAAACAAGAGTATCGCCCATTTCCGTTTCGAAAAAAAAAGAGTATCGCCCATTTCCATGCAAATCTTGACATGGAACCGTTCAATTGAAATTATTGTTTTCCCCGTGTTGGTAGATAGAACACATAACATATATAACGAGCGTCAGCGATGATCCCACATTGTTTAAATATACTCCTGCTCTGATTGCTTAATTCGAAAGTTAAAGCTCCAACTATATAGATTGGTGCTTCAACCATATAGATTGAATGGTTCCTAAACTATTCTAAAAGCCAAGTTTGGTGCTTCAACCCTAATTCTAAAAAAATCTGGTCTTCTTAGTGCCAAAACCATATAGATTGACACTCGTTAAAAGCGACTTCAATGATGATGTGGCGCTAGTTTCGCACCTGTGTCGATCCCATTACCCAAAATAATTAAAAAAAGAAAACCGAAAAATCACAAACTAAACAGGAAACATAAGTATTTCAATGAATTCTATTAAATATTATAGGAAACTATAAATACATAAAAATACCAGTTTTATGGTAACAATGGATTTGATGAAAAATTGGAAAATACATAAGTCCAGCAAAGTTCCAAACTTTTTATTCTATATTTCTAAATTTACATATTTGATAATATTTATTGTAATATTATATACATTTCTTACATTTTCTATTAAAGATTAAATATTATATGGCTGATTGTCCAGCGAACACTTTTCTCTGAATAAAGCTCGAAAGTTCTATGCAAAAAAAAATGTAGCTTGCTGTAGTAGTTTGCATGGAAAAGAAAACCGAAAACTGATCAAACGAGAAAACCAGTAATCGCCCGTGTCGGTACATTCCTTGTTGTTTTTGTTCCAAAAAATCATCTTAATTAATAAAATTGTCAAGTCTTTGTTCTTGTTTTAAAACTTGTAAAGGTAAATTTCTTAGTCCGATTTTTCACATGGTGTACGTGTTATGGACGCAGATTTTTTGTATCTCAATATTTTCTAAGATTAAATATCCAAAGAACGACTTTACAAAATTCAAAATTTTAATGATGATAATAATAACCCAAAACTGATCTCATGGAAAGGTGATTTTTTTTACTGGTTTGCATGATAAAAAATAATTACTGAGGAGCGGAAACTTTGGATGGAACTTAAGATCTGCTTGTAAATACCCAGTCGCTTGTATGACTAAATTATTTTGGAAAATATTTATTTTTTCTCTTTTAGAAAAGAAAGCGTGTGACTCCAAGCTCTCTTTGCCCTCACAGCCAATCAATTACCTTGTTTGGCTAGTTTGGAGCGATGCAAGATGGGAAGCAATTGACCTGGCCGGGTCATCTTCCTTCATTCCAGCTGACTATGATTACGACTATTCAAAACTTCACACTGTAATCCCAAAATACAGCTACTATTCAACAGCTACGGCCTAATCCATTGCTTCTGTCCCTCAAACTACGCATATCTTCAAAATACTCCCTCTGTCTCATAACTTAAGAACATTATTCAAACTATGTTAGCTTGAAAAATGCTTTTATATTATGGGACGGCAAGAGTATCATCTTAACCCGACCAAAAGCTTCACACCATTCCAGGGCCATGTGGAGCGTTTCCCTCCTCATCTATGCGGAATACGTAGTCTCCTATGAAATATACAGTTCCACATTTAAAACATCTGTATAATGAGTGCCAACAATGATTCCACATTTCTAAAATAATACTCATACCGCGATTACTTAACGCGAAAACCTACAACGACGTCTCTCTCCGCTGTATATGGAGGGAAATAAAATTGCACAAAAGGTATGCCTTAATTAGGAAGTAAATGGAAAGCAAGCACTCATCAGCCCAAAATGGTGATATGTCAATCAATCAATGGATCTACCCGGTGGTGTGTGTGCAACAGTTTAAAGTGTAAAAAGGCAGTGAGATCTTTTGCAAAAAGGAAAAAAAAAGAGAAAGTGATGAGACGGGGGCTAAGGAAAAGGGAGGAAAGTTCCCTCCCCTCTCCTCCGGATTGTTTTGATTTGTTTGTCATTAGTAGTATTAAACAAATTATTTATCAATAAACAATTGATGATCCAAGTGTCCCAGTTGATGAATTAGTTAATTCGGTTAGGCCAGGCTAACCCAGAGATTCTTGTACATGCATGTTAACCGCAAATCAAGCAGCTAATTGACCAGACTGCTAATCCAGCAGCCAAGACAAGAAGAAGATTAGGTGGTAATTAATCCAGGGAAGAGGCCTTCTAGAAGAAACATAGTAGCTGGCCACGTCGCCCCTCCATTTGGAATTTCAAAGTGGAGACTTCGCAGTGGGAGGAAAAATTCAGCCCCCATACAAAAAAGTCTCGCCGCTGTCGAACCGCGTCTTTCTGCTGTCCGATTTAGAGTTTCAAGCGGAGAGGGGGAGTGAAAACTCGCCATATGTGACGTTTTCATCTCGATCTTACGACCTAATTTATTTGATTAATGGATCAACAACCAAACCACCCATTTTATGAAAAAGAAGGAGCATGGTCTTATTCAAATTCAAAGCGCTTCGTAACCGTAGAATAGGATCCTAATCAAAATAAATACATTTGGTTCAGGCGCTATTAGCATGGTAAGGCGTCGCCGTCAAAACCGCATTCCGTCGCCCGATCTTTGGGAACCCTGTTTGGAATTAAATTAATTTAAACAGTCATTCCTCCTTCTCCTCCTCTACATCAGCAGTGATGTAGATACACGCACACAAAATTTTATATTTTTTGCGAGATATCCACGCACACAATTACGGTTATAGATACACGATTACGAGGCGTTTGAATGTGACTAGAGAGACAAGTCAACAAGGTGGGCAGGAATATAAAAAACCTCGCTTGGCCGTTGCCAAACTGCGTTCGGTTACGGTGCCTGATTTAGAATCTCAAGTCGAGGGAAAGGAAAGGAAAACACACGGTTTCAGAAATGTTTTGTTATAGAAAGTAAGTGTGTGCTCCTCCGCTTCGGCGGTTATCCTGGTGGTACGGCACAAAGAATGACGCCACCCACACCATTTGTAGATACAAGCACGAAAGGGAAGCCAACAAGGCGGGCACGACGTGCGTTTGATGAACTACAATAGGAGAAGGATTTTTGAAATTCCGTTGAGGGAATTTTAAGTATATACTTTTTGCTCCTGTAGCAGTCGGTCTTGTTGGTTAGATTTATGGTCAAAGTTGAACCTTGAAAAACGCGGGCACGCTATATTTTGGAACGGAGGGAGTATTAGTCAAATGGGAGGTAAAAAAAACGTATAAGATTCTTGTTTTTTTACATATCAACCAATAAGAGATGTGTGACGTGCATGCTTTCAGTGACTTAAAGACTTGCATGCAATGCTATTAATTAGCAAATAAATAAGTTATCTTGTTTTTCCTTCCTCCTTGGTCACGGTGCACAATGTAAAATGACTTGTTCACTAAACGGAGGGAGTAGTATGTATTTTAGAATTCTAGTAAGGAGGAGGAGGAGGAAGCTTCTATTAAATTTCTGTCCTTGACATGGCCAATATAGTTTCTCACAGATTTCTATGCATGCCCAATCAAAGTCAGCGCCACCACCACCACCAGATGAATGGATGGATGAAAAAGTCAACCATGGTAACTGCATGACCAGAGAAGAGAAGAGAAGAGGAGAGTGGCGTCTCTTTCCTGGCATGTGCCAAATCAGTCCCCCTGCCCCTGCCCTGACAGGTTAAGATTAAGATTAAGATTAAGATTAAGATTAAAATTAGCAGGAAGGGAGGAAATTACTGTAGTAGAGAAGAGAATCAAACCAAATCAGCAGCTGCCACCAGCATTTGCATTTGTATCCCACTGTTAGTGACCAAGCCAAAAAGGAGGCCAAAAGCCCAGCACCAGCAGCACCAGCAGAGCACTTTCTCCTCTCCTTCTTCCTCCTCCCCTCTCCCCTTTCTTGAGGACACACACCAGACAACAACAAGGACCAGAGGACACGGCGAAGAAGATTAAGTCTCCCCTGCTTGGCCTGCGGAGCCTACAAAGCCCTCGTATTCGTTTCCTTTTTAATTTCATTCCAAGATCAGGTCCTCTTTCTTGGCTCCAAATTAATACCCACATAGCGCTACTGCCACATCTCGCCGGCGATTCCATTGGATCTTCTGCTCGCCATCTGTCCTCCTCCGTCCCCTTGTTCCAATCGCCCGCCATTGCCGCCCTCCCAATCTCCCATCTCCCTTCTTTCCTCCCCTGCAAGTATCCAAATCCAACCACTACAGCTGCAGCAGCCAGCAGCTCTGCTCTTGCAACGCAGCTTTAAGCACCCAGGACACACAAGCCAAGCAAAAATTGCGTCTTTCCTCTCCCCGGCGCGCTCCCCGCAGCCCCTAATGGCCTCCTCCGGGGGCGGCCGCGGCGGCGACACGGACAACGACGGGCGCCGGGGCCGCCGGCGGCGGCGCAAGGTGCTGCTCAGCAAGCTCTACACCTTCGCGGCCTGCGCGCGCCGGCCCAGCGCCGTGGACGACGAGGGGTCCCGGATCGGCGGGCCGGGATTCTCGCGGGTGGTCCACGCCAACGACCCCGCGGCGGCGGCCGACGCGGCCGCCGCCGGCGGGTACCGGTCCAACTACGTCTCCACCACAAAGTACAGCGCGGTGACCTTCATCCCCAAGTCGCTGTTCGAGCAGTTCCGGCGGGTGGCCAACATCTACTTCCTCGTCGTCGCCTGCCTCTCCTACACCCCCATCGCCCCCTTCCGGGGCGCCACCGCCGTCGGGCCGCTCGTCCTCGTCCTCCTCGTCACCATGGTCAAGGAGGCCATCGAGGACTGGCGCCGCAAGCAGCAGGTATTTTCCCCATTCTTCCCCCTTCTTCCTGGATCTGCATCTGCATCTCCATTTTCTTCTTCTTCTGCACTGCAATTTTTTATTCAAGAATTCAATCCAATCCAATCCAATCCCCATTCATTCAGCAATGGCATCATTTCCTTCCACTAGTGTATGGGACCAAATCCATCTGCTACCCATAATTTCAGCAAAATTAACACAAAAAATAGGGAGGCAGGGGTTGGTGGAGCAGTTATAGCCACTCAGTCCTTCATTCTATTTCCTCCAGTACTGGTAGAGGAGATGTGGTCCAATTACAATTAGTCCTTTGCTAAAAACAACAGATTCATAACTATGATTCTTGCTTGCCAGTACTTTCTCCTGCTCTTGTTAGTAGTGCCAATATATTTTTTGCTGAAAAACAGTGGATGAATGTTTGTTTCTTGCTTGGTGCATCCAGGACATTGAGGTGAACAACAGGAAGACAAAGGTGTTCCAGGACGGCGCGTTCCGGCGCACCAAATGGACCAAGCTCCGCGTCGGCGACGTCGTCAAGGTCGAGAAGGACGAGTTCTTCCCCGCCGACCTCGTCCTCCTCTCCTCCAGCTACGACGACGCCATCTGCTACGTCGAGACCATGAACCTCGACGGCGAGACCAACCTCAAGCTCAAGCAGTCCCTCGAGCTCACCTCACATTTGCAGGATGATGCGAGTTTCAGTGGTTTTGGGGCTGTCATAAGGTGTGAAGACCCGAATGCAAACCTGTATTCGTTTGTTGGGAACATAGAGGTGGAAGAGCAGCAGCAGCAGTACCCTCTGTCGCCCCAGCAGCTCCTGCTCAGGGACTCCAAGCTTCGGAACACCGAGTACGTGTACGGCGTGGTGGTTTTCACTGGCCACGACACAAAGGTGATGCAGAATGCCACCAGCGCCCCCTCCAAGAGGAGCAAGATTGAGAAGAAGATGGATGGGGCCATTTACGTCCTCATGTCCATCCTCGTCCTCATTTCGGTCATCGGCTCGGTCGTCTTCGGCCTTGCGACCAAGCATGATCTGGTGGATGGCAGGATGAAGAGGTGGTACCTCAGGCCGGATAACCCCGACAACATCTACGATCCCAACAACCCGGCCGTGTCGGCGGCGCTGCATTTCTTCACGGCCATGATCCTTTACGGCTACTTCATCCCCATCTCCCTCTACGTCTCCATCGAGCTCGTCAAGCTGCTGCAGGCTCTCTTCATCAACAGTGACATCCATATGTATCATGAGGAGAGCGACACGCCGGCTCATGCCAGGACCTCCAACTTGAACGAGGAGCTGGGCCAGGTCTACACCATTCTCACCGATAAGACCGGGACTCTGACTTGCAACTCCATGGAGTTCATCAAATGTTCCATCGCGGGCACGGCGTATGGACGTGGAATCACCGAGGTCGAGAGAGCTATGGCAAAGAGAAACGGTTCCCCCGTGATCTCTGATTTTGAGATTGGCGTCGAAGACTTCCACTCTGAGGGCAGATCTGCGATCAAAGGATTTAACTTCAGAGATGAGCGTGTCATGGATGGTAACTGGGTTCACCAAGCCCACTCCGGTGTGATCGAGATGTTCTTCCGGTTGCTGGCCATCTGCCACACATGCATACCGGAGGTCGACGAAGTAACAGGGAAGATTTCGTACGAAGCAGAGTCTCCCGATGAGGCGGCCTTTGTTGTCGCGGCACATGAACTTGGTTTCACTTTCTACCAAAGGACGCAGGCAGGTGTTTATCTGCATGAGTTGGATCCCTCGTCTGGAGAGCAAGTTGACAGGTATGTGGGTTTGAACTTGCGTCAGATTTTCACGTGAAAATTCAGGAATGATCTAGCTGTAACACTAACATCAACCTTTTTTTTTTCTTTTCTGGCAGATTTTATAAGGTCTTGCATGTCCTTGAGTTCAGCAGTGCTCGGAGGCGGATGTCGGTGATAGTCAAGGACGAGGAGGGGAAAACATTTATCTTCAGTAAAGGTGCCGACAGGTTAGTACTATCTTCAGTAATCTGATGCATCTACTCTTGCTCTCTGTATTTGTACGATGGATGTATCTTGACTTGTTCTCAACATGCGCAGCATAATGTACGAGAGGCTATCAACCTCTGAGAGTACGTATGCTGAAGCGACGCAGAAGCACATAAATGATTACGCGGATGCTGGCCTCAGAACACTAGTTCTTGCATACCGTCAGCTCGAGGAGATTGAGTACGCAAAATTCGAAAGGAAGTTCACTGCAGCTAAGAATTCTGTCAGCGCTGATCGGGATGAGCTGATTGACGAGGCTGCAGATTTGATAGAGAGGGATTTGATTCTTCTTGGTGCTACCGCCGTTGAGGACAAGCTACAAAAGGGGGTGAGTCATTTGCTGCCGTAAAATGGAACATTGTAATAGTACTTATCTTTGGTTTGTGTGTGCTAATTTCCATTTTCTAGGTACCTGACTGCATCGACAAACTTGCTAAGGCTGGCATCAAGATATGGGTGCTGACGGGCGACAAGATGGAGACCGCCATCAACATCGGGTATAGCATCTGTCCTGGATGTTTCGATGCTTATAGTGATATTTGGCCAATTTTATGAACTTACTAAAATCCGATGATGCTCGTTTTCTTCACAGATATGCGTGCAGTCTACTCAGACAAGGGATGAAACAAATAACCATCACACTGGATACACCAGATATCATTGCCTTGGAGAAAGGTGGTGACAAAGGAGCCATTAATAAGGTAGATAAAGTATTGCTGATTATAGTTACCGAGTCCTTTATATAGTACACGGACCAATTCTTTTGCAGTTTGTACTATCTATCGGTTCTATAGTGCATTACGTTTGGTGACAAATTAACTACATAACTGCCTGCATATTGATCAAACACCTGGTCTGTTTTACGATAATACTAACACCAATTTTTTTCTGATATATGGCAGGCATCGAAGGTTAGTGTGGTGCAGCAAATCAGTGAAGGAAAGAAACTCATAAATGCATCTGGCAATGAATCTTTTGCTTTGATCATTGATGGGAAGTCACTTACATATGCGCTCAAAGACGATGCCAAGGCCGCGTTCCTTGATCTCGCAATTGCCTGTGGGTCAGTCATTTGCTGCCGTTCTTCCCCAAAGCAGAAGGCTCTTGTAAGCTCAAATTTCACCTCAGAAATTGTTGTGTTCTTCCATCTTCCCAGGAAATGAGAGTGGATTCTTAACTGTCTATCTTCATCTGTGATTCAGGTCACGAGGCTGGTCAAAACCGGCACCGGTAAAGTTACGTTGGCAATTGGCGATGGTGCGAACGATGTAGGCATGATTCAGGAGGCGGATATCGGGGTAGGGATCAGCGGTGCCGAAGGGATGCAGGCTGTCATGGCGAGCGATGTTTCCATTGCGCAGTTCCGCTTCCTTGAGCGCCTGCTGCTTGTCCATGGGCATTGGTGTTATAGCAGGATCTCATCAATGGTAAGCAATGCAAAATCATTGGCACGTGTGAATTACTACTCTTCTGCTTACTATGATTTATGAAGAGAGCATGTGGCGGTTTTGCTGAGCGTCTCCCTTGTTTTTGTATTGGATCAACAGGTATGCTACTTCTTGTATAAGAACATCACATTCGGTGTGACCCTGTTCCTGTACGAGTCCTTTTCGACATTCTCCGGCCAGACTTTGTACAACGACTGGTCCATGTCTCTCTACAATGTCCTTTTCACGTCACTGCCTGTGATCGCCATGGGCGTGTTCGACCAAGATGTTTCCGCCCGGTTCTGTCTCAAGGTACGCTCGCGCTCACATCGGTTTCTGAAAATTAATCAACGCTGGATCATCAAAAAGAAAAAGGAATTGCTCACTGTTTCTGGAAATGCAATGCAATGCAGTACCCGATGCTCTACCAGGAGGGCCCTCAGAACCTGCTCTTCCGGTGGTCAAGGCTCCTAGGCTGGATGCTGCACGGTGTCGGCAGCGCCGTGATCATCTTCTTCCTCACCATCGCGTCGCTCAAGCATCAAGCGTTCCGCAAAGACGGCGAGGTCATAGACCTCTCAATCCTCGGCGCGACCGCCTACACGTGCGTTGTCTGGGCTGTCAACATGCAGATGGCGATCACGGTGAACTACTTCACCCTCATCCAGCACATCTGCATCTGGAGCGGCATCTTCCTATGGTACGTACCATCTAGCGACGACAACTAAATTAACCAGAGCAACTCACTCACCCACTCACTATTTTTCTGGACCAAACTGACACAACCACTCTTTGTGCTGCCTTGCAGGTACCTGTTCCTCATAATCTACGGCGCCATCACGCCGTCCTTCTCGACCACATTCTTCATGGTGTTCTCGGAGGCGCTGGGGGGCGCGCCGGCCTACTGGGTGGTGACCCTGCTGGTGGCCGTGGCGGCACTCATCCCCTACTTCACCCTCGCTGTGGTCAAGACGTGGTTCTTCCCGGACTACCACAACAAGATCCAGTGGCTGCAGCACACGGCCAAGCACGAGGACCCCGAGGAGGAGCTGGGTGTCGTCCTGCGCCAGTTCTCGGTGAGGTCCACCGGGGTGGGCGTGTCGGCGCGCCGCGACGCCAAGCTCGTCCGCACCAACAGCAAGGCCTTCCACTTGGACTCATCATCACAATCACAAGCCACCGTTGAGCTGACTTAGCGCGCGCACACACACACAAACACACTAGATATCAGCAGCATGCAGCTCCCCTGTAAATATGATGATGAGCAGCAGCTTAAGCTTGGCAGAAACTAAGCTTCTGCCTTTTGTTTGCCTGCTGCTTCTCAGAGTGTTGCTAACCTGGTCAGGTGTTTAGAGATGAGCGGTTTCGCCGGTCGAATTAGGGTTTAACTGTACATGATGAGGATTATTGATTTTGTTTGTAGACAGTAGCTACAAAAGGGAGGAAGGAATGGACTGATGAGGACAGTGGATGTACATTGGAGTGGAGTGGAGGGATGTAAGTGTAGGAGATGGATGGATGCTTAGCTTGTTCCCCTCATTATTATTTGGGGATAATTTTTCCCTTGTTTCTTTTGTTCCTTTGTTCCTAAGTTAAGAATATATATATCCTTCTGCGGAATAATAATATGAATAAAGCCTGTATTCTAGTTTTGCTGTCATTGAAAGAAAGAATGGATGCCCTCTTTGGTGCTGATATCGCCGTATGTTTCCGCCTTCTTTCGTATCGACATTACTTTTTTTTTTCGTTTCGACATTACTTAGCAAGTGGGGAAAGAATGATGGTGTTCAAAGGGGCCCTGATTTCAACCGAACTATGAAAGAAGAGCAGGGAAATCATGGTTAATTAATAGTCATACACTCTTTGAAAAAATCATTGTTTTTTACATGTTTTTATCATAACATATCAATAAACCTAATAAAATTGTAATATTGCGAAGATCCGGGATAAAATCTGTAAACACATATGAATTTCAATTATGAATCACATGTCTAACACAAGATCTTATCTACATAATAATGATGACTAGTAGAAGAGAATCTCATGAATCATGTGTGATGGAGATGACTGGTCGACTGTACAGTACATAGATGGCCTAACATTGACAGCAAGTCCTTGAGAAGAAACAGTCAAATTATTAGGCTGATGACTGACCTGAAACCTGAAAGCAACCGGGCAGGGATATAAACAAGATCTCTTCCCCTTTCTGCACGGCTCTCATGCACTACACACACATGAGGTGAGGTCATGGTCTCTCTTCTCCTTCCGATGGTCTATGCTTCTAGAAGAAGCCATGCGTGCCATTCGCCAAAAAATAAAAGTCATCCATGAAGAATTTTGGTACTTGGCAGTTAGGATGTCATCAGCGGCTAACACCGTACGTGCTGGGGGATACTTCGGTCGAATTATGCCCTCAAGGGGATCAGCCCTCCACCGAGCCATAAGTAAAGAGGAGTTTTCTTTTTAAGAAACGAGAGAAATCCCTGCTTTATATCTGAGAAAAGTAATCGAAAATTTACCTTGTAGCTCGGACCTTAGCCCTTCTCAGCAGAGCTCGTCTTCGGGGGATCTTCTTCCGGAGATGATGGAGAGCGGAACGCCTCCCCCCTGTCATACCGCCTTGTGAGGCGGGCGACCCTGAGGTATCGTCGCGGAGAGTTTCTCCGAATCCGGCAGGGCCGGAAGGTAGTCATATGGCCCCCCAAAGCCCTCCGCGTCCGGCCTTCGAAAAGGGTCATCGGACGAGTCCGGCGCCGTCTGGTGTGCGGTCGGAGGAGCTGAAGGATTTGCTAGGGCGAGCATCTATCTCAGAGGAGCATTGTGCATTGATGGGTATGGTGATTGAGAGGATTTCATCCACGGAGAGCGGATTGCACGAGGCCGTCAGGAGTTTACTAACAGGTTTTGAGGTATGTGAAATAATGTACCCTTTTTGGATAGTTGCGCATAAATAAGATGCGCCCTATGTAGATAGTAGCCGAAAAGTTATTTTAACTTGGTGCAGCAGTTCCTTGATGCGGCGCCGCATATCAATGTGATGAAGAGGTCAGCGTGCATAGAGGGTGCGCGGATGGCTCTTGCCCGTGTCAAGACATACTGGGCGGAAATGGAAGCCACTGCTATTGCATCCCCAGACTCGGATGGAAGCCGAGTACCTGCCGAACGCTATTTTCAGGAAGTTCTGCAAGGTGCTCGTTTAATAGAGACGCAGTGCTCGAAGGATACTATATTCGAATAGCATGTATTATTGTAAAACAATATTTTGATAAATTGTAGAAGCTTTTTATACTTGTGTCTGCAAGTATTGGAATACCTCCTGTGCGGCCGCTTAACATATACGTATATATAATCTGAAAGATGGCAGTCGTCGGCTTCAGCCCCCACGCACATAATGCGGGGGTGTTCGCAGAAGGCGCATTTTCACACTTGATCCAACGTCTTGGTCCTACAAAGGAGGTGATAGCGCAGCGAACTAGGCAAACGGACTATGATGCTTTATCACTTCCACTTAGCCGTAGGAGTTTGACATTGAGGCTACTTATATAGTCCATGGTGGCGCCTGCGCTCGCCCGAACTTGGGGCGCGTATGTGCCTGGCCGAGAAACGGCCCTTCGTTAATGCGGAGGAATCCTAAAGATTCTGGTGAGTCATCGAGTGGTTGACCAGTCTCACGCTATATCATGACAGTTAGTTTTCGGCTTTCTCTACTGAGGTGCTCGTCTGGCCGAATCGGGGCACAATCGCAGTAGTTCTCCTGGTGCCGCCTTAGCCGATAGAGCGAAACGTAAGGCAGCAAAACACAAGAGCCGGGCAAACCCAACATTTAACCAAAGACATGATTCGGAGCTGATGCATATAAGGCCAAACTCGCAACGCCGAACACTCCCTAAGGTATTCGGTATTTATGAGGGCGGGCGGGATAACGCCCTTAGTAATAAGCCCCTAGTGTCCAGGTACGCGCAAAACTTTGACGTGGCCACATGCCAAAACGCCAGCCTCCTCCTTGGTTATACCAAGAAACCAGGGGATGTGTATCAACAAGAGACAGTAAAAAAGGTTTACGCGGGGTCTTAATCTAAAAAGAATCCTTGGAACGGGTCCCTGCTGCACGTCTGCGCCTGTGTCTCCATTATGCCGTATCCTGGACGGGTGTAGCACGGTGTTCATCTGTAAAAGAGAGGAACTTAGTTAAAGAAAGATCGTGCCAAACATGAGTTATACTAAATAAACAAAGTATAAATCGAAATGGGTAAAGCTGAGCTTTATTGTCTCTTGTTTTATATGCGCGGAGCCCCTAGTACAGGGGTATACGGCTATTAAGCCTTTATCAATTGTATGTTTATGCCGAACTCGTCTAGCCGTGTCCGTGGTCTTGACGACCTGTTTAGATGCTTTGGCTGGTGAAGCCGCTTTATTGTGGGGCTGTCAAGGCAGTCGCACTGTTTTCCGCGCGGGAGGAACACTCAATGTTTTCCCTTTAATGAGATGATGCCTCGTGGACCGGGCATCTTAAGCGTAAGAGATGCATACTGCGGTATTGCGTTAAAGCGGACGAAAGCTTCGCGTCCCAGCAATGCTTGATAGCTACTTGAGAATGTGGCGATGTGGAAAGTTAACTGTTCGCAACGGAAGTTATCGGGGGAGCCGAACATAACTTCTAGCCGGAGAGAACCCATGCAACGGGCATCCGGGCCTGGCGTTACCCCTTGAAAGGAGGTTTTGCTATGGCGAATTTTTGTTGGGTCTATTCCCATGTTGCGTATTGTGTCCTGGTATAACAGGTTTAGACCACTGCCGCCGTCCATCAGGACATTTGTAAAATGGAGTCCGCCGATTATTGGATCTAATACCAAGGCAGTCCAGCGTGCGTTCCGGATACTTCTAGAATAATTCTGATGGTCGAAGGTGATCGGTTTTAACAACCATTGGCGAGACTCCTTTGGGATAGGCCGTATGGCGCGTATCTTTGGTGGCGCCGTTCTGTTCGTCACGTGAAGTAAGTGTACTGTTTTGACTTCTTGTGGGAAATCCTTTTGTTTTCTGGTGCTCTGCTTGTGGGGTTCGTCGTCGTCCTCACTTGGTGTGTCGAGCCCCTTGTGTTCGACATTGAGTTTGCCGGCTGGCTTGAAAACCCAACAATCTCTGTGGGTATGATTTGCAGGCTTCCCGGGAGTACTGTGTATTTGACATATCTTGTCCAAGATTTTGTTTAAGTTGGATAGCTCGTCCCTGTTATCCTTGAGGGGCGGTTTTCTCCGATTCCGCCGCGAGCTTTTGAATCCGGCGTTGACCGCCGTGCTCTTTGGGTTGTTTCCCTTATTCCGGCGTTGGTCCTTGCTGCGTCGAGGTTTTCCGTTTCCATCCCTAACTTCGGATGTACTTGGGTCGCTGGTGCTACATCTTGCCAACCAGTTGTCCTCTCTTGCGTAAAAGCGGGTCATGAGGCTTGTTAATGCGGCCCTTGTTCTTGGCTTTTCTTGGCCGAGGTGTCTGGCGAGCCATTCGTCTCGAACGTTGTGCTTAAAAGCTGCTAGGGCTTCGGCGTCCGGACAGTCGACTATCTGATTCTTTTTAGTAAGAAATTTGTTCCAGAATTTTCGGGCTGACTCTCCGGGCTGTTGAGTTATGTGACTGAGATCGTCTGCATCCGGAGGACGGACATAGGTCCCTTGAAAATTTGCCCGGAAAGCATCCTCAAGCTCTTCCCAACTTCCCATGATGTTTTCAGGAAGGCTTTTGAGCCAATGCCGGGCTAGCCCTTTAAGCTTGAGGGGTAAGTATTTTATGGCGTGGAGGTCATCTCCTCTGGCCATGTGTATGTGGAGGATATAATCCTCGATCCAGACCCCAGGGTCTGTTGTTCTGTCGTACGCCTTTATGTTTACGGGCTTGAATCCCGCTGGAAATTCATCGTCCAGCACCTCATCGGTGAAACATAGGGGGTGTGCGGCACCCCTGTATTTGGGTGTGCCGTGATGTTCGGATATTTGTTGTGTTGCATTGCTTACTAGAGCTTGCTTTCTTGGCCCGTATATAGATCTGTCCGGGCCGTCTTTTTGATGCGGATCCTTTGGTGGATCGTGTGCCGGCTTGTGTGCGCCGCCGCTTGCCGCTCCATGCTGGCCATGCGGTCGTCCATCCGACCGGATGGCTTTCCTATTTTTTGACTGCGGGGGCTCTAAGGCCTCCTCGTCAAATTCAGGCAGTAGCTTTTGCTTTGGATAGCTTTTTGTGCGGCGACTGCCGGCATATTTGTCTGTGGTGTTGCATACTTTGCTCCATCTGATTCTGAGTGCATCTTCCACAGTTTTGAGTTTCCGCTTCTGCTTTTTCAGGCTATGCGCAGTGGCGACGAGCCTTTTGTGGAGGTTCTTCTGCTCCATGAGTTTATCCGGCGTAAGGTCGTCCGGACTGTTGTTTTCGCCGGGGACGGGGTGTTCGGTTTGTTTATCCAAGTTTCCCTGTTCGGACGCTTGCTCGAAGGCATGTTTGTCGTCCGCCGGCTCATCCTGATCTATGGCTGGGTCTGTATGGCTATTGTCTCTGTCGAGGCGGGGCTTGGAGTGGCGCTTACTTCGCCGTTTCGATTGCTTTTCGAGTGAACGATCCCTCGTTGCATCCCTGTGTTCCTCGTCGTCGCTTCCTTTGGGTGTGTCCACCATGTATACATCATGAGATGAGGTGGCTGTCCAGTGCCTTATAGGCGTTGGTTCGTGTTCATCTCCTACATCGTCGTCCATGCCGTTGATGTCTTTGGAGTCGAAGTCGAGCACGTCGTTTAAATTATCGATAGTGGCTACGAAGTGGGTGGTGGGTGGGCTTTGAATTTCTTCATTATCCGCATCCCAACCTTGTTGACCATAGTCCGGCGAGGGCTCTCCTGATAAAAAGAGAGACTTTAGTGAATTCAGAATATCGCCGAAGGGCGAGTGCTGAAAGATGTCCGCGGCGGTGAACTCCATGATCGGCGCCCAATCGGGTTCAATCGGTCGGGGCGCGGAGGGCTCGGAGTCTGGAGAGGAGTCCGGCTCCTTGAAGTCACGGGCTTCGCAGAGAATAAGGCTGGTGTTCGGCTCGATCGCCGTAGAGATTGCAGCCCTTGAGGCGGTGTCTAACCACCCATCCTCGATTGGTGTGATCGGCTTCGAGCTAGGGGTCGGAGCGGACACAGGTGCGGCCTCCAGGGCGCTATTCGGCGGCAGAACTAAATCATGCCCATCATGACAATGCGGCGCGCTCGGCTGTGGCTCGAATCCGTCGAAGATCAAGTCTCCGCGGATGTCGGTCGTGTAGTTCAAACTTCCAAATCTGACCTGATGGCCAGGGGCGTAGCTTTCGATCTGCTCCAGATGACCAAGCGAATTGGCCCGCTGTGCAAAACTGCCGAATACAAAGATCTGTCCGGGGAGAAAAGTCTCACCCTGGATCGCATCGCTGTTGATGATCGGAGAAGCCATCGGGCCTAAAAGTGACGACACGGAGGAACTCTTAATGAAAACACCAATGTCGGTGTCAAAACCGGCGGATCTCAGGTAGGGGGTCCCGAACTGTGCGTCTAGGCCGGATGGTAACAGGAGGCAGGGGACACGATGTTTTACCCAGGTTCGGGCCCTCTTGATGGAGGTAAAACCCTACGTCCTGCTTGATTAATATTGATGATATGGGTAGTACAAGAGTAGATCTACCACGAGATCAGAGAGACTAAACCCTAGAAGCTAGCCTATGGTATGATTGTTGTTCGTCCCACGGACTAAAACTCTCCGGTTTATATAGACACCGGAGAGGGCTAGGGTTATACAGAGTCGGTTACAATGGTAGGAGATCTACATATCCGTATCGCCAAGCTTGCCTTCCACGCCAAGGAAAGTCCCTTTCAAACACGGGACGAAGTCTTCAATCTTGTATCTTCATAGTCCAGGAGTCCGGCCGAAGGTATAGTCCGGGCATCCGGACACCCCCTAATCCAGGACTTCCTCAGAGAGGCGATGACAGCGGCGCGCCTTTGGCACGCTTCAGTCTTTGTAGACGTCTTCAGATGGTCTACGGATCTGAATGTAATTTTATTATTTCCAGTGTTCGTTGTACTATCATGATTGAAGATTAATAGATTGAAATTTTCTCGCAAACCAAAATGAAAGTCCGTGTCATAGGCCCCACAGACCCGATGGAAGTCCCTGTTATGGGCCCCACAAACCCCATGGATAACATGTGTTTTCATGGCTCAGAAAAGGTGACAAGGACTAGAGGAAATCCCATTCCCCTTGGGCTGCAGTCCCCGGTGTTTGAGCATGTCGACGAGCGTCATGGAATCGTTTCTTCCACGGGAGGTGCTGTGCGCGGTGGTGGGCGCGGCCATGGCGTGGTGCGCCGTGTGGGCGCTGGAGTGGGCGTGGTGGAGGCCCCGGCGGCTGGACCGGGCGCTGCGGTCGCAGGGCCTCCGCGGCACGGCGTACCGCCCCGTGGCCGGCGACTCGCCGCTGATGCAGCGGCTGAACAGGGAGGCCAGGTCCCGGGCCATGCCGCTGGGCTGCCACGACGTGGTGCCGCGGGCGATGCCGCTCTTCCACCGGGCCATGCAGGAGCACGGTACGTAGCATAGCCTAGCCTACCTGCTCCATCCACCCTGCTTCCTGCACCGCCGGTTCATTACTTTTGAAATTTCTCTGGTCCTGCCCTTGTCACACCTTCGTATAAAAACATGTTCTCTTTCTTTGAGGAAGCTATATATATTTTCTCCCATGCTTCTCTTGTAAAGAATGTAATGGAACTACTGATCTAGTGTCATATTTTTTTCTACTGTATGTAGTAGTACAAACTTTTTTTTTGGCAAATAGGAGTTTTATTCCATAACGATAGGGTTACAGTCCAGTGGCAGTAGTGCCTCAGTACACGGAGGACCACGGTGTAGTAGTACAAACTTGATCAAAAGTAGTTTCAGTTATGACAAACCTAGAACTAAAATTAATTTAGAATGGCAGATGGAGCATCATATTGAAACAAATGAGAGACCCAAGAAGGCATCCAATCCAAGTATATAAATATTTCTAGGAAGAGTATATATTAACGGAAAGAAAAAGAGACAAGATAATTCCACGCTGCATGATTGCATTCCAAGGCCTTGTTCCTATTGCCTACTCTACTCAATAGTCAAGGAAAGCTACCCACGTTACACTAATGTGATGATGACACAACTCTAGACTTTAGATCCCACCCTTCTTATTTTAGTGGATGCATATTTAGCATGTGCCACTTCCTACCGGTTCGGGCCCGTTCCAATCGAGCATGTCGTCAGGCTTCGGGTAATTATTTCTTTTAAGACTTTTTCTTTGTAATTTGAAAAGGTGATAGAGATACTAAGTCATTGCCCGTGCATATGCCATTGTAATTTGTAAAAGCCATAGATATTATGTCATTGCCCGTGCATATGCCATTGTAATTTGTAAAAGTGATACTTATGCCATAGTGGTTGCGCGGGCTACTCTGCCAATCAATGTTCTAGCAATATTGATCTTAACAAACTAAACAAACGGACTATTTACATATTTCCAAGCTGGTTAGCAAATACTCCACTTAGATAAATAGACTAATTGAAAATGAAAATGTACACACACATAACTAAAAAGAAATACTGCTAATTAAAAAGCTTGCTCATGCTTGATGGTTTGACAGGTAAGATGTCAATCACTTGGTTTGGACCAGTACCTAGAGTGACCATTACCAAGCCTGAACTGGTGCGAGAAGTTTTGTCCAACAAGTTCGGCCACTTTGAGAAGCTCAAGTTTGGCCGGCTCCAGAGGATGTTGCACAACGGCATGGGTAGCCACGAGGGCGAGAAATGGGCCAGGCACACGAGGATCATCAACCCTGCCTTCCATCTGGAGAAGCTCAAGGTGATATATACGTACATACTATTTCTGTTGTGTCATTGACATGATTTGATCGGGTCAGCTGGGAGTGACAAAAGAAACTGGCTGCTGTTGGATCAACTTTCAGCGGATGTTGCCGGCCTTCGCAGCATGTTGCACGGAGCTGGTGCAGAGATGGGAGGGTCTAGCCCTAGCCGCGGGCGACGCGCCGTGCGAGGTGGATGTTTGGCCTGACATGCAGAGCCTGACAGGGGATGTCATCTCTCGCGCCGCATTTGGCAGCAGCTACCTGGAGGGCCGGAGGGTCTTCCAGCTTCAGGGGGAGCAGCTTGAGCTCGTCCTGCTCGCCATGAGCAAGATGCACATCCCTGGTTATTTCTTCTTGCCAACAAGAGCCAACCGAAGGATGAAGCAGATCGCCGCCGAGATCGAGAGGGTCCTCAAGGGCATCGTCGCCAAGAGAGAGAACGCCATGAGAGCCGGCGAGGCTACGAGCGACGACCTTCTCGGGCTGCTGCTGGAGTCTAACATGGCGGCGCACTGCAGGGATGATTCGAAGGGCGCCGGCATGGGCATCACGACCGACGACGTGATCGGGGAGTGCAAGCTGTTCTACTTCGCCGGCGCGGAGACCACGTCGGTGCTGCTCACGTGGACGCTGATCCTGCTCTGCATGCACCCGGAGTGGCAGGACCGGGCCAGGGAGGAGGTCCTGCAAGCCTTCGGCGCCGCCGGCACGCCGGATTACGACGGGCTGAGCCGCCTGAGGGTGGCGACCATGGTGCTGCACGAGGTGCTGCGGCTGTACACGCCGGTGACGGCCATCCACCGCGAGACGTACAAGCCCATGGAGCTCGGCGGCGTGAGGTACCCGGCGGGCGTGGTGCTCATGCTGCCGCTGCTCTGCGTCCACCACGACAAGGAGGTGTGGGGCGTCGACGCCGACGAGTTCAGGCCGGAGAGGTTCGCCGAGGGGATCTCCAAGGCGTCCGTCGACGCGCCGGCGTTCTTCCCCTTTGGGTGGGGCCCGCGGGTGTGCATCGGGCAGAACTTCGCGCTGCTCGAGGCCAAGATGGGGCTCGCCGTCATCCTGCGCCGCTTCTCCTTGCAGCTCTCGCCGTCGTACACGCACGCGCCGTTCCCCGCCGGCCTGCTGCAGCCGCAGCACGGCGCGCAACTCAGGCTCAAGACCCTAATTCAGTGAGCCAGCTACATATCACAAGATGGGATCCATGATCCATCTGCATGTACATCACTCAACAAGCAGGAATATATGGTTGTGTATTGAGTATTGACTTCCTATATGCCTTGTATGATTGTATCATATAACAACCCAAGTTTCTCTACTAGTGCTTGCTCAAGAAAAGCGTCAGACTCTGAGGTGGTTCTTCTGCAGCTAGTGCCATTTTGCTCACCTTTATCATGGCAATCCAATCTAGCTAGTACTGTTATTGCTCTCACAGTCAGTGTTAGAGCTATATATATTTGATCGTTAGAGATCGCACGGGATTAGACAGAAATTGTTTCCATCATAACGACCAAAGTTTCTCTAGTAGTGCTTGCTCAAGAAATGGTCCTTGTGCAGCAAAGGGTGCCATTTTGCTCACCTTGATGGCAGAACAATCTAAGTAATACCGTTATTATTCTATGAGTGTTAGGGATACATATTTGGTTGTTAGACAGTGCACTGGATTAGATATAAATTTTCATTGTATTTCTAGGAGGCTTCTCACCCTCCAAGTTTTGTACCGCTATATATACTCGTCCTCGACGCTTAATACACACACCGAAATTGTGGACACGACCGA